AAGGAAATGGAATAATATGCTGCACTGAAAAACAAGGAACTCATGAACTATTATACACAATGGGTGACTTTTTTTATGCTGAGTGAAACATCTTAGTCACAAAAAACCAAATATTGCATAGTCCCACTGTTGTAAAATGGGACTGACATTGGGGCTGAGGGGAGACTGAGAAAGAGGGAATATATAATGTATACTGCATTGAAACAGATGAGGAATAGAACTGTTTAAAAGATATATATGATTAGGTATTATTATCATGACAGGAGTCCAGAACGAAGGCTGCATAGTGGAGTGGCCTTGGGGGAAGGGATTGTATAACAATGAAAAAATTTTTCTTTTGCTTTTCAAAGAGAAGAGTGAATTGGGGGAGAGGGGTGGGCAGGAAGAAAAGTACAACAATGAATAAATGGAAATCCAAAGTCTCTATAAACTTTCATTAAAAAGAATTTAAAAAATTCTGTTTACCAGTTTAGTCAGTTTACCAGTAAAATAGGGGTTTACTTTACTGGTTTTTTTCGATTCGTTCAAGAAATTTACTTAGTGTCTAATATAGTATAGACATCTAGAACAGGAGTGGTATCCATTTCCTAAACAACATGCCTCTGGAAACTATGAACTTTGATAAATGTCGATAGTTGTAGAGGTGCTTCAGGTCTTTTGTTCATAGGGTCGCTATGAGTCGTGTTCAACTCAAAGGCAATCAACAACAACAATAACAACTCTTGTGTATATAAGGAAAATATTTAACAATTAGATCTCCAGGGCAGGGAGGAGCCCTAATTTATAGGGTTTATAGGTTTTCCTATAAAGAAGAAGTGATGCCTTTGAGTTGTGGTACTGGAGAAGAATATTGAACCTACCATGGATTGTCAAGAAAACGAACAGGTGTGTCCCGGATGAAACCAAGCTGCATCCCCACATGTTGCTAAGAGGGACCAGTCTTTGGAGAAGATGTTTGAAAGGCAGGAGAAAAAGATGCTGGGTGAGATGGATTGGCACAGTTACTGGGGTAATAAAGGTAGGTGTGTGAGAGACAGTGAGATTGACTCAGGGTAGAGCAGAATTCAGAGCTATTGTGCATTGGGTCACTCACTATGAGTCATAGTTCTAGGGCACATAACAACACAGGTTTTCCTTTTTGCTGAATTCTGTGAAATTAATACGCTCCACTCTCTACCTCAGCTTCTATGGCTAATTTCAAGCTATCAAGATGATACCACTGGATTTGGATTTGGGGGAAAATATGCATAATTGGCTGGGGAGCCAGAACAAGTCCGATCCCACACACCATTGAGTCACTGTCTACCGTCTCGAGAAAATTAGAGGCATAAACTCTCAGCTCTCAATTGTGATATGTGGGACGGCATTAAATAACAAAATTTCAACTCATAAATGGCAGACCTGCAGGCAGAAAAGATGAGAATACGTGGCAGCGTCCAGAGGAACGTAGTGGCTGTGAACTCTCAAGTCCATTCTAACTCAGGGGCCCAACAAGATAGAGTAGAATTTCCCCATAGGGTTTCCTAGGCTAAAATCTTCACAAGATCAAATTGGTAGGTCTTCCTCTGGAAGCAGCTAATGGGTTCAAATTGCTGACCTTCTGGTTAACCAGCAAGAGCAACTGAAAAAACAAAACTTCCCACAAAGTTTGATGCCAGTAGAGGGGAGGCCTTGTTTGAGGTTGAGCTAAAATGTTCTTTAAATCTGCAATTTCAGCCAAAGCAGAGGTTACCACAATTTCATCCAGGCAACATTTTACTCTATAATAAGATAGAGTAAAGCAAAAAGATTGGAATGGAATGTAGTTGTGATCACTGAATAATCTTCATATAGTTTCATAAAAGACTGTACCTCACATCCTTATTTCTAAAAAACATTCGTAATTAGTGGTATATTTCTCTGGCCAAAATGGAGACTACATCCATATTCTTAGAGAGGAAGACGAAAATAGTGAAGCTAAGTGACTAGCTAAATATTTCTCTTGTCTGTATGAAGTATGAATGACTCAGATCATGTAGAAAGCTCCTGCCTTCACTGGGGTAGCTGAGGCCCTATTTACAAAAGAGAAAGAGAAGGAGGAAGAGAAATAAAGTCTACATAAATCCCCCTCTAACAACTTCATTATCATCATTTACTATCTGATGGCCGAGTGGTAAAAATCTACACTGCAATCCTGAAGGCACACAGTTCGAATCTACCAGCTGTTTTACTGAAGAAAGATGGGCAATCTCCTCTGTGATTACTGCCCCTGAAAACCGGCTAACGGGTCAGCTATGGGTCAGTTCTGACTTGATGATACACACAATAGTAAAAATAACAAATAGTAAAAACTAATCCACTGTCTGTTTGAGAAGATCCAGGTCACTGGAAGTTTTTATATTAGGGGTCCATGGGATAGACCAGCCCTTGGAGGATGGCATCATACTTAGAAGGATGGAAGGACAGCACAGGAGAGGAAGACCCCGGATGAGATGGATTGACATGGTGATCAGGGTAACGGGGTAGGGGTGTCAGAGTCCGTGAGACTGGCTCAGGACAGGGCAGGGCTCAGAGCTGGTGTGCATAGGTCGCTGTGAGTCACATGCAACTTGACAGCACGTAACAACAATGGCGTTTAAGCTGTACAATAAGTAGAACCAAATAATTCTTATGATTTTTCATGATTTGCCTTTGACAGAAAAGGTGAATTAGAGGAAAAGAGGTGATGAGTGAATTCTGGAAAAATGAAGATGTTTGGGTTTGCTTTTAAATAAAGAAAAGAGAAGAGAAGTCAAAAGGCTAGAAGAAAGTTGTGCTATAATAATCTCATCTGACAAACTGTAATTCATATTCATAAAACACCTTCCTCATCCAGCTTCCTGGAAGCCACATGAGTGGTCCCTGCTCTTCTCTTTTTCTGGGTTTCTCCTCTTCTCCTCTCCACTTTAAATGTTGGTGGTGGTTGTTACTGTGTACTGTCAAGTCAGAACTGACCCACCGCTCACAGTCCAGCAGCTCTTCAGAGGCAGTTAATCACGCAGGAGGAGATTACCCATTCTTCTCCCATGGAGCAGAGTGGATTCAAAATGTATACCTTTGGGATTGCAGTGCAGCTTCTTACCGCTAGGCCACCCAGAGCTCCTTGAACTCAGTGTCATCTACACTCACTCTTTGGTGCTCTCATCACATTCCATGGATTTAAATACCCTCTGGGGGTGCATGATTTCTAAACTGATGTCTCCATCCCAGTCTGCTCTCTGGAAATAGACTCAGATACCGAATAGGCCTACTCAGTGACTTCACTTGGATATTTAACAATCACTTCAAATTCGCTATGTCCCAAATTAGCGCCACATCTCCGTGGACCTGCTCCTTTCCTAGTCTCCTTCTCTCGGGTGATCGTGACTCCATCCTCACAGTCAGTCAGGCCAATACCCCTGAAGTCCTCTTACACCCTTCTCTTTGTCTCACATCACAAATGTAGCAAGTCTCTTGGGAAATCCTCTGATCCTGATCTTCAGGTTTATATGGAATCTGACCCCATTCCACCAACAATCCTACCACCACCTGATCTAGCAGTACCACTCTCTCTTGCTTGGATTGAGGAATATCAGCTGAATATCTGATATACACCTAAATATCAGCTTGGGCTTGCCAAGTAGTTGACATTCAAACAGGTTTAGGTGTGCGTGAGGTTGCTTTCTTGAGGAAAATGCCTGTGACAAATAAGTGGAATAGGGTGGACGTGTGACGGCAGGGACTCCAGACTGCAGAACAGATCTGGTATCTGAGAAAGGGGAGAGGGGGAAGGATAGGCCTATTCCTCTGGGACAGGAAGAGTCGCAGATTATTGGGCTAGGGTAAGGTCACATGAGGCACAGGAGACTCGATGGTACAGAACAACAACACAAGAGTACCTATGAGGCATCTGTGTCTGTTTCCAGAGAGCAGACTGGGATGGAGACATCAGTTTAGAAATCACGAATCTACAGAAGGTATTTTAGCCCACGGAATGTGATGAGGTCACCAAGGGAGTGAGTATAGATGACACTGAGTTCAAGGAGCTCTGGGTGGCCTAGCGGTAAGAAGCTGCACTGCAATCCCCAGTCAGATTGACAGAAATCATGGAAGCCGGTTATTGGAAGAGGCTGGTACCCTGCAGGAGTAGGTCTGGCAAGCAGAGGTATGACAGATCCAGCTGTCCCTGTCAATCAAGCCAACACTCCACAGCAGGAGACCTGAGCAGACCTTCCTACGCATCTGCTGTGCCTCCTACTGGATCTTCTTACTTCTATCCTCACTCCCTTACATTGTATTTTCCACAGAACAGCCATATGGGACCTTCTAAAACGTGAATCAGATCATATGGTTCCTATACTCAAAGCCCTTACGTGGTTCTCATTGCTCAGAAGAATCAATTTCAAGTCCCCACTCCCCAGGCCTGAAAGCCTCCCCTTTATCTGTGATCTCACCACCACCAGCTGGTACCTCACTCCCTTGGCTTCAGTGTTCTTGTACTGACAGTTTTCTGTGTGTAAAACACTTTTCTTTATATGTCTGCTTTTGCCTTCTCAATTGCAACTATCCTAATCACTCTGCTATATTTAAAATTGCTGCTTATTTCCTCTGACCCTTGGGGCTTCCAGTAGGATGTATCACTTTCCAGACCAGAAGAACTATATAGAGCTTGCCTATTACCACTGACCACTCTGTAAGAGATGACAGTGGATGATCCTAACTAAGTAGAAAGGGATCAGGGGGGTGGGGGGAACATGGAACAAGACTCAAAACCACTAAAAAGACCAGTCTTACTGCCGGAGCCCCTGAGACCATGGCCCTTACTCATTCTTTGAATGTGGAACAAAATTTACCCCATGACTCGACTTTCAACTAAATAGTAAACAGACCAATAAGGGGACCAATCACAACTCAGTGGATGCACTCAAGCCTTAAAAGAGCCAATCACATAAGGTCAAAGGAGGAGCGTTTCTCCATGAGTGAAGTCTAGCAGGCAGGTAAAGCAGGATAGAAGGGTTAATGGGAATAAAGGAAATGAAAGTTCAGAGGACTAGGGCAAATACACTTTACATTGTGAGTACTGTAATTAACATTATAAAACAAAGTGTGTGTTGAGTATGAATGATTCCGTGAAAAACCAACTTGCTTGTTAAGTTTCACTTGACTCACACTAAAAGCATTTATTACCCAATAACATACAATATCATTTCTTTACTATAGCTATTGATTGGTGTCTATCTCCCTACACCTTATCTAGGACTCCAGGAGGACAAGGATCTTGTTCTTTTTGTTCAGTGACATACCCTAAAGGACGCTCTGGTGGCGTAATCCAAAGGGAGATGGCACCGCCAAACCGAGGAGGGCAACTTACTGGCGGTTCAAACCCACTGGCCACTCCAAAAAGGGAACAAGGGGCGATCTCTTCGCAAGTGGCTTACAGCCACAAATCCTGCTGGAGAATCAGCTCTGAGTCAGTTCTGACTTGACAGCAAGGAGTTTTGAGTTGCTAGAACTTCAGTGCAATTTTTGGACATATTAGTCATTGACCAATCAAATAAACAACCAAAATGAAGTTTGACTTTGGCTCATGTGATGCTATTTGAGAGAGAGCGAAAAAAATGAAACCCAAAAGGGCTTCCTTCCCCAGCTCAGACCCAGGATTGAACTTCACCTTGACTTACCTGAAACTACTGAAATTGCTTTCAAAGCTCTGAACACGCGAAAAGTCCGCAAGGGTGACAAGCTGATACCTTTTTTTATGAAATATGATGGAAACCTACAAGACAAAACACAGGGGGATCTTGGGCTTGCTCGGTCCTGCAGCTGCATTGGGCACTAAGACTTTCAAGCATCTACCCAGGAAGGATGATCTGAGAGCTATGTCCACCAAGGCAAAACCGATAATCTCACCTTCCCCATCTCCCCCTTGTCACAGCATCTGGAATATCCCTCCACTGCTGTGGATTGCGTAGGAGCCTGCTCTTAGCTAATCTTTATGATTAGACGTACATATGGATCCCTTGATATACTCTGTGCTGTTACAGCTACATCTGTGGACACTAGAAACCAACCCACACTTTGCTGACTGGCTACCACATTCCAAGTGCCAGTGCCCTTCTCCATGTTCTTCTAGCCCAAAGCAGCCAACCCGGAAATGAATCCTGAGACCTGATCCCAGAGTCTGTACTTTCACCTGCTGGCCTCCACTGCCTCTCAACAAGAAGTTGAAATGGAAAAACGCACCTATTAACAGCCTCACCTCAAAGAGCCTTTGTGATTATAAAAAAGAAAAACATACATGGCAGAAGGCTTAGCAATACATGGCACATCCTAAGCATGTTAGGCTTATTGTTACACTGCAATAGTATCATAAAACATGCTCTTCCCTCTTTCTGGAATTCTCTTCTCCCTTTTTCTCTTTCTCACTGTGCTTGGTCATTCAGATGGCAGGTTGGTGTCCTCTCCTCCAGGAAGAAGTTCAACCTTTACCTCATATTATACATAACTTAATCAGAAAAGATAATGGATTTGAATATAAGAGTCAAATCTAGAAAAGGTCTAGAAGAAAGCATGAGAGAATACTGTGTGATTCTGCCAAGGACAGTTTATGTCACAGTTCTGAAAGTTCCACCTGTTCTGAGAGTCAAATCCACACATATCCCCTATCTTAGCATTCACCTTGCTGTGTCATGTTGCTGTGAGGTGACTTTGCATTGATTTTGGCTCAGAGCCACCCCATGTTTCAGAGCAGAACTGTCCCCATAAGATATTTTAGGTTGTAATCTTTGTGGTTGGAAGGAGGAGTGGCATCCACTTCCATAATAGCTTGCCTCTGGAAACCCTATGAACCTGGAGAGAGGATGAAAGGCACCCAAGCATCAAGGACTCTCCTTCATAGGGTCACTATGAGTCATCTGTGACTCGACGGCACTTAACAACAACAACAACAACAATCTTTACGGAAGTCTATCAGTTCCTTCTCCTGTACAGCTCCTGGGTGGGTTTGAACTATCAACCTTTCAGTTTGTATCCACTCATTTAAGCATTAAGAGTCAGAATCAGTGAGAAAGTATCTATATCAATAATACTAGTTCTTAACTGTTTAACTTCCTCTTGTAAGCCATGTAAAAGGTGTGAAGATTGAATTAATTGTGTGTCCCCCAACAAATACATGAGATATTCTGTCCCCTATACCTGTAATAGGATCCTGTTTGAAATAGAGGTTACTTGTTTTATGTTAATGTGATTGTGTGAGTTGGGTGGGTCCTAAATCTAATCACTTCTGATTTGTAAACAGAGCAAAACAGATATAGAGACACCCATAGTAGAGACCCCTGTCAAAAACACCAAGGACTGTCAGCAGCCACTGATAATAGAGGAATGGATAAATATGTAGATAAATAAATAGATAATAGAGGAATCTGTACTAGAGTCATGAATCTAGACTTCCAGCCTCCAGAAGCATGAGAAAATAAATTTCTGTTCCTTAATGCCAGCCATTTGAGGTATTTTTGTTACAGGAGCAGTAGGAAACTAGGAGGGTGAGAGCCGTGTCTGTTTTTTGTTTCCCCGTCATCACAGTCTCTGTCTCTTGTGCAGAACCCGGCCCACAGTAGACCAGCATTTGGAGAGGGAAAGGTTGAGGAAATGAGAGCATGAGTGTTGGCATAGAAATGGATTTATGGTAGAAGATCTGTGGCCACCTGGCTGTATGACAGCATTCAGGACTTACCAATACTGACAAAGCCCCATAGGCCTCTGTAGGCCACGGTCTAGCACTGCCCGGGGTTCACAGAGAGCCCTGATGGAGACACTTGTGTGTCCTTCCCACCCTGAGTGTGTCCAACAAGACTCTTTAACATTCTTACGCTGTTGCAATGACAATGGAGTCCAGCCAGTTCCAAGGATCTCGGAGGAAAGAAAACTCATCCAGAATAAAGCCTCTTGCCAATATTTTTATCAATGCTTCAAAAATATAGATGCCAGTGAAGATAAACCTACAAAAAAAACAAATCGTTCAGAAGAAGAAAAAGTACGATAAGTGATGAGAAAAGCAAAAAAGCCCATCTGTCATATTTGGCTTTGATGACCGTTTCTTCCATTTAAATGTAGTATTTAACACTCTGGTTGTCAGCAAATGAGAGTTCAGAGAGGCAAGGTCCTCAGGCCAGTGTTGGTATTCAGAATTTCTGAGACAAAGGCCTGTGGATAGAGTGACACAGCACCTTCTCAATGCCTAGCCCGTGACTATATTCTTGAGCCTAGTTTGAGCGCACAAGGGGACGCTGGGATGAGAAGAATCAAATATCACCCCAATTCTACAGTTCCTCTGAGATAGAGAAGGAGAGAATAGGAAGGGAACAATATTGGTTAATTTTATAAACTAGACTAAATGGGAATGATTGTATGAAACACAATGTGAAGGATGGATAGTCTGAAACACAACGTACACAGATTTTGTAAGCAAATCAATATAATTTTCTTTTTCTTTAAAAAAAAGGATGTAGCAAAGCAAAAAGCAGAGCCATTCTACTTTCTTCTGAAAGATCTGAGCACTTGTGTAACTTTCCTCATTTCTTCAAGTTCATAGGGTTTCCGGAGGTAAGCTATTTCGGGAGTGGATGCCACTCCTGCTCCCAAGCTTGTTTTAATCTGAGAGCTCCAACACTGTTCAACATGTGTAACCATTATAGCATTTGACACATCAGTGTCACAGTGTTCAACTTAACAGCAACCACAAGTTACCTCTGTACAGCAAGTCCATTTAAAAAATAGAATCAACAAAATAGAGAGTTGGTTTTAATTGAATCAATAAAATTGGCAAAGTAAAAAAAAAAAAGAAAGAAGAATAAATGCAAAATAATAAATATCTTCTTTTTCTGGCAATACAGCAGGATTAACTGAGATAAAAAGAATCACAACAGAAAATGATAAAAAAATTACACTCCAACAAGATAGAAACCCTAGAGGAAATAGCCAAAATTTCTAGAAGCACACGACTTCCTAAACTGTGGCAAATAGGTAAAATTGACTGGGAAATTAGGATAAGGTGTTATTTATTTCTTACTTTATCGGAACTGTTTAGGGTAATCTTAATTCCTCAAGTATGTTGTTGTTGTTGTTATGTGCCGTCAAGTCGCTTGCCACTCATAGCAACCCTGTGTACAAGAGCCCTAAATTCCGCTCTGTCCTGTGCCAATCGCACCATCTCTGACACTCCCATCCCAATTATCCCAGTCACTGAATCAATCCACCTCATAGAGGGCCTTCCCCTCCTGTGCTGTCCCTCC